TTTCTCTGCTGGGGTCGCTCGGCCCCCACCTCCCACCTGTCAGCCCCTCCTCAGGCACCCCAATAAACTCACTTCACCGGCCGATCTGCCTCCTTCCATCCGACCCTCATGGGGGTGGGGGATCCCAGGGTTTTGCCCAGACGTGGTCTCCCCCAGCCTGGAACATTTCTGGAACCCGGGGACCGAGCGGCCCCAGAGGCGGGGCCTAACTCCTGTGGGCGGGGCCTAACTCCTGTGGGCGGGGCCGCGGGGTGGGACTCCGCCCTCGCCCAGGAATCTCGTGCTGCTGGGCTGAACAGGGGGATGTGGGGATTCCTGTCCCAGCAGGTGCTGTAGCTGCGAGGTCATTGCTCCTTCCCGGCCACCTGCCCATGTCCCAAGCATCACCATGTGAGGATTGTGTCCTGATTTTGTGGGTTTGGCTTCCACGCCTCACCCCCACTCCCTGAAAGTTGCCACATGGGAGAGTGCCCCTGTGGAAGGTAACTCCAGGCTCCGTGTCCCACTGTGGAAACTAAAGGGACCATGTGTGTCCCTCAGCACCACAGGCCACGTGACTCAGGCCACGCCAAGTGCATTTTACTGGCTTAGATGTTACGTTAAATATGAGGGCCAGGGAGGCTTTAACTTCTTTAGTGGCATGCTTGCACGGGTGTGGTCACAGCGTACGCGGCCAAGGCGCTGCCCAAACCACAGGCCCCAGTCTCGGCGCCCGCTGTGGTGCCCAGCTGGTCACTCTCGTTGCCCCGTAGCTGTGTTGGGCTGGGAAGCAGTAGGCCCTGAGCCGCAGGTACCGATCATCAAGGACGCGCCATGCGGTGCGCGGCTGGCCTCGCTGGCGGGGCACGTGGACTGTAGTTGTGGCGAGAGACGCGACGGAAAGCGCGCGGTGTCCGGCTCCGCGGCACTCGGCGTGTGCGGCCACCCCGCCGTCCCCGTGCGGACGTTGCCGCCGTCCTCGCCGAGCGAGCCCCCGCCCCAGCCCCGCGCCCCCGCCAGGCCCCGTCCCTGAGCGTGACTGGGTGAGGTGTCTCACAGGAGTGACTGCTCGTCCTCGGGGACACGATCCCACTCCGCGTGAGGTCGCGGGGTCGTGTGCGTGGGCGCGGGAGCCTCCCAGTGCGGCTGAGCAACACCCCACCCCGCGGCTCCGCGTCTTACCCGTGTGGACGGTGGGCGGTCTCCCTGGGGCCCTGCCGTCAGTCAGTCCCGGCCAGGGTCTGCCGCGCAGTGTTCTAGAACAGCTAGGCCGGTCGGCAGTCCCGCCAGCGGTGCGCACGGGTTCCAACCTCCTCGTCCACACCAGCGCGAGCTTCCGCCTTCCCACCGTAGCCTCCAACAGCCGTGCGGGTGCGAGCGGCCCTCTGGCCTACCGCAGACCTCGGCCGCCGCGTAGGCCCTGCCTGCGAGCCCCGCCCCCTTCCCCGCCCCCACCTAGCTCCGCCCCCAGTAGCCTCCTCCCCTGCCCCGCCCCCCTGCCCCGCCCCACCTAGCCTCCTCCCCTGCCCCGCCTCCTCGGCCCCGCCCCCTTACCCCGCCCCCACCTAGTCTCCTCCCTGCCCCGCCTCCTCGGCCCGCCCCTTGCCCCGCCCTCCCCTAACCCCCTCCCCTGCCCCGCCCTCCCCTGCCCCGCCCTCACCTGCCCCGCCCTCACCTGCCCCGCCCTCTCTTGCAGAAGAACGAGTACCTGTTCACGCTGGTGGCTGAGGAGCCTGACGCGCTGCTGCTCGGCCTGCGGTACTCGACCACCAGGCTGCACTTCCTGTTCCTCAGCCCGGGCGCGGCGGGTGCCTGGCAAACCCGCGTGACCTTCCGCAGCCCCGCCCTGACGGACAACCGATGGCACACGCTGGTCTTGGCCGTGTCTGAAGGATCCTTTTCCCTCACCACGGACTGTGGCCTCCCCGTGGACATGTAGGTAGCAGGGTGCCCGGGGAGGGTCCAGGGCCGCGGGGCGGGCGGCCGTGTCCGGGTGCTGCGGGCACCGGGCGCCGTGGGCTCCGGCTCGCGGGCGAACAGTCCTCGGGACCATCCCCGAAGCGCAGGCGCGGTCATCCCAGGGTCGGGGGCCAAACCTGTCCTCCAGAGAGGCCACGGTGGGTGGAGACGAGTGCAGGCGCCCAGGCTGGGTCGACTGGGCTTGGGGGGGGAGGGGGACTGTGCCCTGCGGAGTGCGGTCACCATCCGGAAAGGCGCGGCGGAAGGTCCCAGGGGTCGGGCACCAGAGCCAACTGAGCCTGCAGCTTGACTGGAGCCCAGCTCCTGCTTTGTGATTTTCGACACATCATCTGACCTAAGCCCGGGTGCCTGTCCGGGATGAGTGAATAGTCACTAAAACTCCAAATAAACACGAGAGTAATCCTTCGGGCAGCTTCGGCCCAGCCCCAGGCACTCAGAAGTGTTCCCTGTGCTCGCGGTCGCCTGGTCACTAGGCTGGACCAGGGAGTGTGGGTCCCCATGGTCCCACCAGGTCGTGACGACCCACGGCGCCCTGAGCTTCTGTCCTGGCTCAGTGGGGCTGGTGACTCTTTTAAACCACAAATTGTCCGGTTTGCATTAAAATCAATCATTATTACACATATTACTTTCAGAGGTAGAAACTTACTTTGCTTTGTTACTGTGAAACTTACTCCATAATAAAAAGATTCCTTGAGACACGTACGCTTTGTTTAAATCTGTCTCTACCACGAGTGCCCCCTCTGCTCCCCAGTGCACCCGGGCCTTTACCAGGGTGCAGACAGTGGGGCCCCAGCAGAGGGGGCCACTCTGTGATGAGAAGGTGCAGGGGGTAAAGAAGGGGAGGGAAGGAGCCGCGGCTGCAGCCAGTGGTGGCCCAGGGGGCTCCGGGGCCTGGGGGTTGGGCTCCACACGCCTTGTGGGTGCCACGGAGGGTGCCCTGTGATCAGAGCAGGCAGCCCAATGCAAGCCTGGAAGGAGCAGGTGTTCGTACGGGGGGAGATGCCTGGCTCATCCTCCCCAGAGCCTCCAGTCAGGACCCTCCTCCCCACCTTCTCTCCCACGCTCGGGGTGCAGCCTGCACTTCCACGTCCAGACCCAGCTCCGGTCACATCTTCCAACACCATCCAGGTCATCCGCGAGGACCCCTCCCACCCGGATCCCATCCGTTCCCCTACAGGCTTGGTCGAGGGCGGGCAGGCGGGGGACCCAGTGCCGGTAGGAGTCCCCGGAAGTTCCGGAGAGATGGAGGCACCGCTGAACGAACGCCTCCGCAGCCGCACTTCTGCAGAAGACTCTTGTCCCGGGGAAGAGAGCCTTCCTCAAACTCACGCCCGCCAGAACCCAGGGGTGGCACCTTGCTTGGGGACAGCGTCTTTGCAGATGTTATCAAGTTGAGTTGAGGTTGTTCTGCCGCTGGGCGGGCGCTGGTCCAGAGCCAGGGCCCTCATGCGAAGAGGAGAGGCAGGGGGAAGGCCGTGCGAGGCAGGCGGAGGGGCGACGCGGCTACGAGCCAGGGAATACCAGAAGGCCCAGGCGCTTGGCGAGGCGAGAGGAACCTTCCCGCGGGCCTCCAGAGGGAGCGGGGGCCCTGCAGCATCCTGAGCGCAGACTCCCAGCCTCCAGAACTGCGGGTAACCCGCGGCGCAAGCCCCCGGATGCGGTGTTCGTCACGGCCGCCCTGGGGAGATGAGGCCGTCATGCACTGCGTCCCCTGTCCGTTTCTGCACAAATGGGCTGTGACACTGCTCTCCCATGGCCCTGAAGCCACCCTCGAATGTTTTCAGAATGGCTGACGTGCGCTTCCCGGCCGCGCTCTCGGTGCGAGGAGCCCGCTTCTTCATCGGCAGCCGGAAGAGGACCAGAGGCCTCTTCACGGTAAGTGCGGGAGGGGCTGCCCGTCCGGCCTCCCAACAGCAGTGCTCACACGGGGGCCGTCACCGCAGGCCCAGCGCCCTCACGCTCCGACCCGACAGATCGTGCGTGCCACACGGGAGCAGGGAGTCCTGGGGTATGTGGGGCCCCACACTTGATGATTTACCGCAGGGCCTTTTCACTCACCGCTCCCTCGTCCTGGCACCCCCCGCCCCCCCACTGTCACCACCCCGTACCCTCAGGGCCCCGCCCCATGTCCTCTCCATGACCTTCCCCTCTGACTTGGAGAAGATGAGCCTTGCACCCGGCCCCTCCCCCGGTTGTCTTTCCCCCAAAGCCCTGACCACCCTCAGACCAGCCGTGTGTTTGCCGACTGCCTGTCTCTCCCCCAGAGTGCAGGTGGGGGGCCTGTGTAGCGTAGTTCTGTGCTGCGTCCAGTGTCTACACCCATGCCTGCTACATAATAGGTGCTTGGTGAATATTTGTGGAAGGCATGCTTGGATGGGTGGATAGATGGACAGCTGTGTGGGTGGTGGGTGGGCACATGGGTGGATGCATAAGTGATGGACGGATGGGTGGGTGAGCGTAGGGATGAGGGATAGATGGGTAGGTAGATGGATGAGTGATCCATGGACATATGGGTGGATGGATGGGTGGACGCACACATGGAAGAGTGATGGATGGATGGGTGGATGGACAGACAAATGGACAGGTGGATGGATGAGCAACGTAGCCCCGACACACTAGGCTGGCTCCCAGGGAACCCCCTTCCATGGCTGTTACCTTAGGACGGTGGATGGTCCTCCAGCGCTCACAGGGCTCCCCACACCCCACCCAATTAGCAGACTCTTCTCCCCTGGCTCTTGGGGTGGCTAGACCCTCAATGCCCACTCCCACGCCTCCACCAGGGTCTGGCCAGGCCGAGCCCGGGGTCCAGGCGCTGTCTAGCAGCGAGGTTCCGAGCAGGCTGTCCGTCTCTCTGCAGGGCCTGGTGAGGCAGCTGGTCCTGCTGCCCGGCTCCGACGCCACCCCGAGGCTCTGCCCCTGCGGGAGCCCCGAGCTGGCCGTGCTGTCCGTGCCCCCAGTCCTGCAGGGGAGGCCAGAAGATAACGAGGTGCTAAAATATCCCTATGGTTAGTAGGTCAAAGCCACCCGCTCCGCCTCTCGGATGGCAGAGCCCCAGAGCCTCGCCACCTGCAGCAGAGACCGGAAGGGGACTATGAAACTGACAAAGATGGGCCCTGTCAGACACGCCCACCTTTCCTCCAGGGGCCTCGCCCAGTGGCCGCCGTCCAGGCTGGTCCTGCTTGGGGCACCCAGTGCTGTTTCCTGACCTCATCTTCCTTCTCTGCGCCTCTGACTTCCATCTGCTGCCTGTTTAGCCCCCGGAGCAGTGTTTGGGGTCTTTATCCCCATCCCTCTCTGATAGGCAGCCCCCGCCCCAGTGGGGACCCCAAACTGTGAGAGGCACATTTAATTGTCCATGACCCCCCAGCCCAGAAGGTCCCCAGCATTTGGCATTTAGTACGCGTTGCGTCTTCCGCGGGTGACGTCACCGTGCTGTTTACATAAGCCACACCCCCTGCCGTACCTACACAGGAATTTTGCACGTGTGTCCCGTTGAGCTCAGAATAGGCGAGACGCAGGAGTGCCACCCCGGGGCCTCTGCCGGGTGCTGCCTCAGGTCCAGGTGCCCCGGGCCACGGCGCGGGCGTCGGCTTGGCTGCAGCACCCATGTCACTGTAAATCCTCTATGCGGCAGCGCCAGGACGTGGGGGCTCAGCTCGAAATGAGGTGTGATCACCAGAAGTTATGGGGTCAAATGCCGCGGAATCAGGCAAAACTCAAGCTTAGATAAACTGAGGCCAGAGAGTGACAGGTCTGAGGGGTGAGCAGGGCGGTGGGTGATTACCAAGGCTGGAGTGGGTGGGCAGTGAGGCCGGTGGGAAGCCGGAAGGCGTGTGGCCCGTCCTTCGGGGAGCAGGGGAGCAGGCCGAGATGGAGACCCCGTGTCCTCATGGCCCCACCTGCAGAGACAAAGGCGGGACGGCCTGGGTCGGGGTCCTCCTCCAGGAAGCATGTTCCCTGGACACGCCTCTTCCTCGTTCCCCCCAGAAACCGACATGAAGGTGACTCTGGGGTCCCGGCCTCCGTGCACCAAAATGGAGGATGCCCAGTTCT